AATGCTGCGAAAATCTATATAGGAGAAATTCTTTAAATCTTTAATATAAATACAAATATGATGAATATTTGCCAAGAAAATTTGCTATTGGAAACTAATATTGATATCGTATTTTACCACCTTCCTTAGTTCTCTCAGAGAGTGAGTGCATGAGTGAATGAGTGAGTGAGTGAGTGAGTGAGTGAGTGAGTGTGAGTGTGAGTGCATGTGCAAGTGCGAGTGAGTGAGTATTTAAGTGAGTGAGTGAGTGAGTGAGTGAGTGAGTGAGTGAGTGAGTGAGTGAGAGGGAGTCTATGCATAGGTGCATGTCCATACTTGTGTGATAATTACACACATCATACGAATAGCAGAAACTTCACCTTGTCCCTTGTGATACAGGTGAGAGAGGTGTGGAGGCTTCTTGCACAATCTTCATTGAGTCAATCTTTCCAGTCACTGGGTTTATCTGGTTGACAAAGTTCTTCCGATGCCGATGCATGAACAACAGGAGGTTGCCATAGCGACAGTATTCCACCAGGATCCACAGCTCACCTGATTGTGATTGGAGATGATGATGATAATTGCAACAGTAATAACAATGTCAACGGCAGCAAAAACAATAATGATAATAAAAATAATGATAATGAATTTGACAAACAAGTAAAAATTCAATACCAATGAGAATAATGAAATTGATAATATGAGAAAGATTTTAATACCCATCAACACATGTATGTATACTATTACCCTTGCCAATGTTGACTGTATTGGCTCCCATAAGATTGACAATATTCAAATGTTTGCCAAGATGTATCATGACCTTCAGTTCTCTTGTAAGCGCTTGGACATGTGACTGATCTGACTGACTCTTGCACATCTTCAGAGCGACTGTGGTCTTTGGTTCATCATCAAAGAGGCCCATGACGGTTGCTTTGATCACTCTGCCGAAGGCTCCTGCACCCAGCTGCCTTCCTGCGGTTAAACATTTGAGTTTCAGTGTTCATGAAGTGTACAATGAAGAGCAAGAACTTCCTTCCTTATGGTATGACACAAAAATACACACACAAAAATAATCACACATATAAGCAAACAAACACACACACACACACACACACATATACATACCCACACTTATAAATATGCAAGCAAAAACCTAGTTTCTGTATGAAGGAGCACTTACCTAAAGTTATGTCATCCCGTTGGATCTCCCACTCTGGGCTATAAGGCAATAACTCAGCTTGCTCATCTGCCGTGCAATCAGGATTCAACTGGCCAATGTTGCCTTTCTCAAAGAGATACAGTTCGTTCTTTCTGAATGATTTTCGGAACTTTCTCTCTTCCTTGACCCTTCTCACGAGCACAACTACAACGACTATCAGGATCAATATTCCAATAAAGGCAAATGCCAGGCCAATTTTTGTTCCAGTGCTAAGTCCTGGTGCTGTTTCGATAAAAAGGAAAATAATAGGGTTGAACATGAATTGCATAAAATTGGAAATTGTTTAAGACAAAACTGTAACCTATCTGTAATTTGTCTGTACAAAATGATAGTGAACTTCCTAAAAAAAAAAAAAAAAAAAAAAAAAAAAAATGGAGTTTTAAATAAAAAAAATATGAATATATCTATATTTATGCATTTTATTTCATATGCATTTAATATAGAAAGTATGCATTTATCTATATAAATACTTTCATATATAGTGCAATCTAGGGAGGGAGAGAAAGAGAGAGAGAGAGAGAGAGAGAGAGAGAGAGAGAGAGAGAGAGAGAGAGAGAGAGAGAGAGAGAGAGAGAGAGAGAGGGAGAGAGAAGCAGAAAGAGATGGATGGACGGAAAGACAGACTACAGACAGAGTGATAGACAGCTAAACAGATTTTTTTTTTTTTTTTCTTCTTTTTTTTTTTAGCAAATGAAAAAATAGAGGTTAAAACCTAACCTGGGACGGTGATTGTTAAACTCCCTTCCAGAACACCCAGCCTGTTTTCTGCTCGACAGGTATAGATGCCTACATGCTTTTGCTCAAAGATGTAGGTGAATTCAATGCTCTGATGATTTTTGTCGAAAAAGGTTGTCCCATCAAAGAATTCGCTGTCTCGTGTCAGAAGTTTGCCATCCTATGGTTAGATAATAGATGGAAGTTTAGAGATAACATGAATGCAATACATTCATTGATTTCTGGAAATAATGTTCAAACACAATGAATTAGAAAATTTCATATGATAAAAAGGATGGTATTAAAAAAAACAAAATAAGTAAAAAATCTGAGTCAGTGATATAGTTACAGAGAGCCTGAGGTGACATACAGTATTGAAATATGAAAACATAATTTAAATATATAATTATAGAGAGATTGGACTGCATGATTTTAACACATTAACATCAACATATTTTCTAAATAAACTTACTTCTAAACATAAAGGGAGACCCTTTTACAGAGTATAAAAATCAGTTAAATATGTAAATATAAAAGAATAAATGTTATATCTAACATATTATTACTGTAAACCCTCTGATGGCAACC